GAGGAGTGCTGGTCGAAAATGGACATCGGAGACAGGAGGTGCTAGGATGTGATGGGCATGGGCGCGATAGCACTTGACTGTCGGCTGCAGGCTTGACGGGCGCTGGGATGGGGTGGACGCGAGGCCGTAAACTCTGAAGGGGTTAGGCGTGAGCGTGAACAACATTGGCACACGCTGATTGCTGATTGCTGATTGCCAGGATGCGCTGGTGTGGATGGTGGAGTCACACCCATCTGGACATGCAGAGATGGAGACTCGAGAGTCCCAGGGAAGGGAGGTGGGCGGCCACGGAAATGGCTAGGGGCGCAGGCAGGGGGACCGAGCGAACTGCCTCCGACCAGTTTTTCACCATGACCAAATAGTCCATATGTCGACAGGGGACCCAGTCGGTTGGTCTCAGTTTCCGTCGTTGAAGAAAGCAGTCTGGACCGAGCGCTGCGGCTAGAGTTCGACGCCGAAAAGGGATGGCAAGAAATTGGATGCTGAGGCCCGACTATGCTGGAACAAGCTTGGACCCATTTGTGACGGGAACAAGATACACTACTGGCACTGACTACTGGGAGTGCTGTGGGTGGAGTGGTGTCAAGCGCTGGGGATCGCGGGTTCCGGAGACACTGGCAGCTGGTCCACGACGATGAATTATTTCGAAGCTGACCACCGAATAATAGGGAAAACTTTGCCAGCCGTGCCAGTTGCCTTCTCCGGTACGAATCGCCTGTCTGGGACTTGTCACGTATTACGGGTACATCCTGTGGCTGAGGCACAAAACTGGGCACAAAGAAAAGAGAAGTTCACGGTATAGAACAAGGCAGTGACTTTGATCGCACAATACCCAGTATGGTCAGGTGGTTGTGTCTGTCAACTCAATGTGATACTTTCCCTGATGAGCATCAGCTCACTTGCACCTCACTCGCACCTCACTTCACATTTACGACCTGCCAGACTTGGATATGCAAGATGGACGCCCGCCCGCACTTGCCACAGTACCAGCATACAGTGATTCAGTCAAATCACGGTCACGGTCACCAATGAGTCTGTGTATCTTCAGATCGGGAGCATTTTTGGGGTGTCGATGTCCTGATCTGTGCATGCATCCTATTTTACTTACCCTTGATTGGGTGACCACAGTAGCAGGATTTCTCGTTCTCCAGACCCCGACTTCCCCCTGCAATAGTGACTCGTGTTCGGCGTTCATTTGGTGCCCACCATCCTCGACTTGGTGTCGAATGACCATTTCTTCTGTGTGTTCCACCTACTCGTTCAGACACCCTGGCCCTGGCCTCTTGTTATACACAATACGGAGTACGTAGTGTGGATATTTGGATCCTCGAACATACCCCAGCACACAAAGCGCGCGGTGTACCAAGTACAAGCCAGGCGGTAAATGACCATGAAGGCTTCCAGGGCATCACTCTAGCTCACACCACGATGACTTAGTAGGGAATATAGGCGAGATGCCAGGGAGCTAGTCTGTTTGCCGATCTGATGTCCCCTCAATCTATATCTGACTAAACTCAGTCTGGAGAGGGACAGACGAGACAGGCAAAAGGAATAAATCCTGATCGTTGTCGGCACCAGAACATCACTCCCCACTCGCACGGACGCGACATTGATCAAAGCGTTTCGAGTGGGCCCATCACGACCACGAGCAAAGTCAAAGGACATTAGCCATCGCGTCGGATCCCTTCCGGCGTGGTCACCACCAAAGGGTTATCCGTCAACGTCGTCTCCATCCGAGGTTCTGTTCTGATACACAGTAGCCTGCGACTGCGACTGATGGTGATACTGACGCTTTTTCTGCTACTTACCCACTCTGAGGATTCTCCCCGCCGTGCGACGACATTCTGCTTCGCTGTCGCAGACGTCATGCAGTTGTTCGGCCTCACTCTTTACTCAACTAGGACAGAGCCTTACTGATCAATGGGCGGCCTGTACAGAGGACTGCGCACTGAACGTGACGGGTCAAACAAGCGCTTCGATACCATGGGGAGCCTGGAGCAAACCACACTTGTCGCTGTGTCAGGCAGGTCACTTGCACCGCAGTGACCTTTCGCAACCCCACTCCGGCCTCCTCGTATCCATCATTTAGCTTCGGGCTAAGTCTTGCCACACAGCGCCGTAGCGGATTCTCCCATTTGGTCGTACTCCTTTAAGCGACTTGAGCCCGATCAAAGCAATCTCCAGAGCCATGTGGCTGCCACCTCATTTGTTCAGACGCCGGCATTTGCTCCCAAGCATGCAGACGCTTCGGGTGGGAGGCTCCACACCTGTTGGGCGTTTGCTTGTTCATCGAATCCTCACATGCCTCTACTGCACGCCGCATCCATACCACCTGAGTCCAACCCGACTCTACCTAGCATGGCCGTCTTCCTGGGGGTTCAGCCAGCCATGATGTGCTGCAGAAACCGCCACCGTGAATCGATATCCTTCCCTTAGTTCGATCGGCGCAGCGCCTTGAGGCTGCCACGCTTTTGAAGCAAGGATGAGGCCGCATGAGACATGCAGAATAACGGGAAGTCTCTATGACTATGGGACAAAGCCATGCTTCCGCTCTTTCAGTGGCCACCTGTGTCCTCCGTACCGTGTGTGCCTGCACCAGCCAGCTGAAAATCAGGCCCATTAGTGTGTAGAGAGACTCGTGTGCGGATCGTCGCCAGCGTCAGGCTCATTATTATTGACTTCACTACGAGACTCCGTTCTCCGCACAGTAACTCTAATTATTTTTCCCCTGATGATCGACGTTTCTCTGCCCCGTCGCTGATGTGCAGGTATTTGTCGTCGAAACCTATGAGTAGTCCTACCAGGTCACAGTTGGTATCTGTAGGTGATGATTGTCACTTGTTTCGGGGCGGTCTTGGTTGTCGCGTGGCCTCGCATCCCATGCGATTCGCCTTTTCGACCTGACCTCAGTCAGCACTTTACGTCAAACATGAGTGCCTCGCTGTACCAGAGCAATTTCGGACTTGGGGTTGTCACGCGGCAAAGAGCAATGCCCAGGCTCTGCCGACACTAACTGGGAGGGAGGGGCAGGCGGGAAGGACAAACAGTCTAGGGGGTGGCCAATGGGCGGCGTCCCTAGGCGACGCACCGCGCTGGGTTCCAAACCATCGCCCACGCTGCCCCTGCAGATCGCGTTTTTCCCGGGTCTTGGGGCTGACAGCTGCTCGCCCGGGGGCTCTTTTTGGGGGCTGCTCCGCTCCGGAAGGCTCATTGGGCTTAGGAGTGCGCGATTGGTCGCTGGACGGGCGGCCCTCCTGCAGCATCCGAAGGCACGCCCTCTCCCTCATTATTCTCCATCCTTAGCCAGCCTTACACAGTACTCCGTACCGGGCCTGACGTTTCGGGCTCGTCGATTTGATGTCCTACCGCTTCTCACGTTGCCCTTGAAACGTCTGCAGACCTTCAGCCTCCTCGAGGCAAAGTCCACAACCCCGTATCAAACCCTGTGTCGGAGATTGTGTCAACCGGTCTGCGGGCCTTTGCCCAACGACGAACTGGCCTTCCAACATGGCCTTCGGACCACCTTCGCGCTGAGGACTTTCGTATCATTGCACAATGACAAAAGGGGGGCGTGGCCTGACCCGCACCCGCCTTGTCTCTTTGGTCTTCTGTCTCTATCTGGACCTCGAAATCAAGTAGTGAAACCTGGTAAATGGTGTGAGACTCATTGGCCGGTGGTGAAGTGCATTTTTGTCTCGATACGCCGGATCGCCCAGAGCTGACGTGAAAATCGTCCTCTTCTGGGACACCTGTAATCTCGGCTTTTTCGGCAAGGCTGTGGGTGGCTGTCTCTCAACAGATGTTTCGGGTATCTACATGCGGACGGACGAACATCAGATTGTCCCGCGTCGGAGGGAAAAAGGTCAAGCGCAGACCTCAACGTCGCACATGGGAATGTCAAAGCGCCAGTCCCCTGGTTCTGATAGAACGGATCGCGTACGGGCGTTTTCTTGCCAGACATGCCTGCCGTGCCGGCGATCGGTTTGGGTAACTCCATGCTTTCCCAACCTGTACTGAGTACCCGCAACATTCAGGAGTCGGGCAGCAGGCGACTGTACCCAGAATGTCCCTACGGTGACCTCGCTAAAGTATCTCTTGCGGACAGACACCGGTCATCAATCGACACCCATCGCTAGAGCGACGGTTCCCCACTGCCACAAGGGCCTGAGGTTATGTAGAACTGGGATTCTTCAACATCATAAGCATCGAGCTGCGAATGCGTCCGGGCCTGAACCTTATGGCCCCCAACGGCTTGGAGTCTAAAATCGAAAACGCCTCCTTGGGCTGAAACGCCCCCTTTTGCCTCAGTCCTCCCTCACCTGATTGATTCCCCATCCTCGATCTCAGCGGATCATGCTAGATGTGCCGACGAGGCGCGAAATCCTGGTCGTCCAGACGCCACCTACAGCCTTGTTGAGACCTCTCATCACGTCTCGGCCCCTTTTTGCCTGCCCGGCCCAAGAGACTTTATCGTCTCGCGTGGTCACACGTGTGGGAAATACCGTAGCAGAGTTCCTGAGCGTTTTTTTTTCAAAATCCATCTCACATATTCCGTACTGGAGATCTTGTCTTCCACTGTTGATCTGACACCTGACATCTGGTCCCATTTGTGATAAGTTGTCGACTGAGGACTCTCTTTTCAGGCCTCTGCTTCCAATCTCGAGGCACAGTCATGCTATGACGGCAATCCCCGAACGTGAAAGTGCCATATGTTGGTGGAACTGGACATTGATGAAGCATGCAATGGATGAAAACGTCGTTTCAAGGGCAGTGCACGCCACCAAGACGACACCATCTCCCGGTGGGTGGTAGTGCCGACGAAGTCGCATCATCGCCGCTGGCGCTACCGCAGCCACTGCTTTCACGACGTAGTGGTTCCTCGAGTTTCATGTTCCTCTTCACACCAGATCTCAGTCATATCCATTTTGGCGAAGTTGCCTTGTGTGGAAACAACCACCGACTCGATGCCAGATTTCCATGTCGTTCGGCGCATCTCATGGCTAGCGCTTGTTGTTCACCTGGGCACCCGTCTCCTGCCAGACGAAGCAGTGGCGTATCCCACGACCTTCAATGCCGTCTCCAGCGACTGGTGGAATGTCATTGGATTCCACGAAGAACAGGTCGGTGGCTTCCTTCAACGTCCCCGCCAACGCCCGAAACGCGCCCGGCCCCATGTCCAGTACAAACCGAATCTCCTTGACGTGCCTTGGCAGTCGCATCACGTACGTATACTGTGGCGTGGGCGCATAATCCGCGGAGGCTTTGTTTCCCATAATGTTCTCCTCCAGATCTTGCCGAGCCGATTGATATTCGCGGTCTGGAAAGTCAAAAGAGAAGTGCCGGTCCAGCACGGTAAGATCCAAGATCAGCCTCGGCTTTGCCTGACGAGCAGGGATCGACGCCATGAAGTGCCTCAAATAGGGTATTGCGCTCAGCAGGACGTGCGACGCCGCCTCGACGACAAGAAGCTCGAGACTCGAGCAGCACTGGTTGATGGTTTGCCAAAAGGTCGTGGCGTAGGAGCTGTTTAACCACGCGTTCTTGTAGACGCGAAGAGTCTTGATCGACGCGAGCGCGACAGGCCCGAGGTTGCAGAAGGTCTCAATGTCCCTGTCGAACCGGAACGAGTTGGCCGAGTAGGCGTACTGCAGCGCGTCGCGCGAAATGGCCTTGTTCACCCGAAACAGCGCGGTGTAGAAGGTAGGCTCCTGTAGCTCGTCGGCCGGTGAAAACGAGGCCCACCGGGTGAAGAAATCTTGCACGCCCAAGGTGATGGGCGACGGCTTGTGGCAGAAGAGCTGCCTGTAGATCTCGTGGCGTACTTCTGGTGGGAGGTCAAGTAGACCTAGCCGCTGCGCTTTGGCATGATCGCACCTTGCGACGGAGGCCATGATCGGGGTGACCTGACCATCGACGATTAGCCTGGCATTTTGGAACCCGGTGGTGAAAAGGATCAATCGAGAAACTAATTTGCCCTTCGCCACGAAGAAGGTAACACGAAACGTGTCACTTTTCTCTTATATAATGCTAGGGCAGTCATCATGCAAGGTACTAATCGTCGCGCACACCACGTGGCAGTGCCTGGCGGCAAGAAAGAAGCAAGTCGCCGCAGTGTTGCATTTGTGCGCAGAGGCGCACCAGCCGTGAGCGTTGGACATTCATTCGACGGAGCGTACGGCGTAGAGGGGGGTGACAGACGGCGCTCGGAAGAGGAGACGATCACGCCCGTCAGGCTCAGTTCTCTACCGAGTTCAGGCTGGCAAATCCACTAACCCACAGAACTGTACGGAGTACGAGGGACACGGATTGCGCCCAGCGTGGCACGCTCCACCCGTCAATCGAAAGTCAAACCTCTTCTATTCGTCGTGTTCATCCTGGCCGCAAAGTATACGCACGTTTGTATACATAGTAGTCTTCCAAAATATAATGCTCGCCCTGTGAGGTAGGCAGAGTTCCAGATTGTCACACGCCGAGATATGCCACTCTCTCCAGGAATGCATTTCAAAATCGTCATCCGTCTTAAGCAAGTTGCTCCATAGAAGCACAGGTAGGAAACTGGATTGTCACACTCCTTCTAACTGTGCAGTTCTACGCACCATCTGGCGCCAAGGACGAGGTATTTCTCCTGAGTGTCCAGGCCGGCGCTACAGCTCCCACTCTTCTTGTATTGATCTTGCAAGCCCAACACAAATGAATGGGGACTGTTTCTGAACAACCTCCTGGTGCCTGGAACGGAAAGGATGCAGCGACGGCGTGTTAGAAGTCTCAAAGCCGCCTGTACATGGCAATTACTCCGACCAGCTGGTGCATGGATATATCTATTGCAGGCAATTCCGATCTCAGAACGTATGTGGAGTTGACTAAATTGCTGCATTCATAGCAAGGGAGTTGCCCTCGAACACAATTAGGTCGGAGCAGTACTCCGTGCAGTGCAACCATTTCGATGTGAACTTCCAACAGAGATCTTGACATTGCGGGAGATCAAGTCTAGCAGTAGGCAAGCTGCTCCGCCCGGTATGGAAAGAGCGTGAGTTTTCATGTCCCTTGCATATCCTTCTAAGGCGTCAGGCTATAAAGAAGGGTTCCTCGGAATATCAGACAAGGCTCAGCAGTCGAAGGTGAAGACGTAGGTTGATGCCGTGCCTAGAGGAATCCTCTACGAAGGAAAGGCATATCACAGGGATCAGAAAAGCGGCGGTTGATGACTTGACGCAGCCACACCACTGCAGTAGCAAATTGGTCTTCAACGTGTTCTTCCCTTCGTCCAGGGCCAATATTTGAAGCTGGGGAAGAAAGAACAAGCTGCGGTGTAGATCAAAGCGGAGAACGTAGCGTCCAATCCAATGACGTAGTTTGGAGACCACAGCGACTGATTGATCGTCGTGAGCTTCAAGCGATCGACGCTGTGTTGCAAATTACGTGCAAGCACCACCAGCGAGTGCCATGACCTGTTACTGTACGTAGACTGGACTGACCACTACTTCATATATCCACCTTGGAGCCGCGCCCATTCCTCCGGCTTCGAAACCGAAACCGAGATCATTATTCTCCCTTCTGATGTGGCAGCCCAAGCCTATGAAAGGTTTTGTGTCCAAAATGTTCCGCGCAGTATGAAAGCTTCCACAGTCTGTCATGCATGTTCGAGCAGAGACTAACGCATCCCTCTCTCACCCGCTGGCAGGGCAAAACACTCGACGTAATTACCCTCTTCCACCGACCGTCCGTCCAAGCGAGCGTCCGGGCCCAAACCCTCCTGAAGCAGGCATCCGCGCAGGCTGCCCAGAGCGCCACGGAAGACCAGGCGTCCGATCACTCCCACCAGAACCAGACCGTCACGCGCACCGATCCCTTCGATCTGGAAGTCACAGAGGCGCCACCGACGCCCGATCAGCTGCGGAGTATCTTCGAGTATGTGGGCAGTGGCAGGGCCGGGGAGCTGGTCAAGGGTGCGGCCAGCGAGAGTGATGCGTTGAGGAAGGTCAAAGAGGACGGAGGTCTGTTTATTCGGCCGGTGACGGTGGATTGGAACGAGGGGCGCGCCGTCATCGGGGACAACGACAGTGAGATTTTGAAGTTGTTGAAGATGGACAAGAAGAGCGAGGCTGGGCCATGAAGCGGACGAGAACAGTAGGAATGTCCAACTTAATGGAAGCTCCGATGGCTGCTACGTTGGGCTATGTGGTGGCAGCGTGGTACAACAACTTTGCGGGGAAACTGCTACGGTCGGAAAGAGAAGTCTCAGGAAAGGCTGTATGCTTGGATTGCTAGTCTACGCTCTGGCCCGTGGACGATATAGCGAAACCGAGGAGGGTGTTGGCCGGTACGAATCAATCAGATGGCAAGTCTCGCCTCCGTGCTGGGGGTATCCCTGGATTCTCAGAATGACCTATTCGTTCTATCGCCGTTGTGCACTTCTTCACTGACTTGTGATGCTTTGCAATTCTGCACTACATTGAGCAGTTGAAGATCAATTTGCTTGTCGTGTTGACATGGAGCTGATACTCCCGATCTTCCGGATGTGAGTGTGCTACAGGTGGAAAGCTTGCCTCTCCAAACTCCCATCCGGCATCGCCTTTGCCATGGAAATACCGGCAGCGTTCTTTGATGCAACTACAGCCACCAGGCTTCTGGCTAAACTTCCCGTAGGGAATCCCTCCAGGATGGGCACCTCTCTCGGGTCTCATTGATGGAAGACATCCACAAGCGAGCCACAATCTGATTTGTTCCCACAGTATCACCCCGGATTCTCCCTCGTCGCGATCCCGACAAGATCCCTGCTCAGTTTGCCGAGGCTTCAGAATGTGTCCGCTGCGGAGGTGAAAGAGGGAGGAGAGAATACCTGAAAATCGAGTTGGCTCATATCCGCCATCCAAGAATCACGTGTGGTTTAATATCCTTTCTGCCCAGGCCCCTTGTCCTCCCCCTTGCCGGGTGCAGTGACGAAGGTCAAGGTTTCTTCCATCTGAAATCCACGGAGGAGGGACCAAGGTTGGGAATGTGGACCTCGCTGACGACTGTGGGACAACAGCTTCTCTGCACCGGAGTGACAGTAGTCAATTCGATGTTTCATCACGCTCAAAGAGAACCGAGTGCAATGCGTTCTGAACGGCCTGCTGTTCGGACGAGAAGCTGCAGGTGCTTGTCTGAAGCTGATTTCGGCCGGCTTGCTCAATTGGCTATCACGCTCCCATCCGCCACGAGGAGTTGCACAAAACTGGAGCGGGCCTCGACACCTCCTGCAGGCTGAGTCTAAGCCTTCGAACCAGCCTCACCTCACCTGTAGGAATCCGAAGGGGACTTCATGCAATCGTTAAGAGTACTACACCAAATGATAGAGTGCAGATAGCCTGGATCAAGGCGGCTGTTCCACGGTAGAAAATTCCTCCCGGGGCTAGAGATGAAATTGGGGCCCGAGTACTCCGTACGGAGGAGGTCGAGCCGGCTTGGAGTCGGACGGCGGCTAAAAGTCTACTCCGTTCATGTCTCCTTAATTGCTTGTCGCCAGCTGCAGGACGGATAACTGATACTTCCAAGCTTGCCATGCCATATTGCGGGCTGCTGTAAGCCTATCGTAGTGGTGAGACAATTGTTATGGAGAAAGTGCGGACGTCGGGGCTCCTGTCAAACATGGAGCAAGGGACCGACGCTGGCATATTAAACCGTCGCAAGGCAAGGCAACGTGGCTTACTCCAGTAGCTTGCAACCGTCACTTGACCTGGGGCTGAGCACTGTTACCGTTTTGGAACCTCTCGCAAGAGCGGTCGGGTGAAGAAGTGGTGACGAAAGCGTGCAGACAAGAAAGTGGTGACGCGGATATCGGGATGACCTTCTGGGCACGAGGCTGGGCTGCTGGGCAGCTGGGCACCATCCTTGGGTGATCAAGGGCCAGCAGCTCTTGAGAAAGATAACGCACAGCTCGCTCCCAGGAAGCACTTGGAGCTGCATCCTGCCACCGAGTGCTCACAGCCAGATCCATCCTCAAAGATCCGGCGAACTAGTCCTTTTGTCCTTATCTGAGTATCGCAGGGAGAGAAGAGGGACATAGGTGGCATGCCACCGCCGTGCATTCCGTAGCGTTTGTTCAGAGCAAGTTTGGAATGCCCTCTGCAAGCCTAGGCGTCATACAGCCAACGGGCATCCCCCACTCCCGCCGCCTAACCTGTAAAGTCCTTCCGCCACATCCCGTCACAGCCGTGGCGTTTGGTGTTGCGTTGCGCAGTGCCTTGCATTCCCGGACGTGCATGAGACCTTTCGAGACAGAACAAGGACACAAGAATCAAAGAATATCCACTCCGCCGCGGTGACTGCGTCCTCCTTCACCCAACCCTCACTCCTCGTCGCCGTGCTCGAATCTTTTTCACTCTCAACTTGTTGCGCAGAACCGGCCACTCGTTATTTTCCTTACTACTGCCTCTCGCTCCACCTCCCGGCGCCGTCGGCACGTCATCGGGGGATCTGAGATCTGCGACCGGGATTGAGATCGCCCCCACGTTAAACGAACCAATCCTAACGGAAACTCATCGCTATTCGAAGACCATTGCGAGCACGAGTACTTCGAGAATTCCCGTGGTGATTGACGAGACAAACGGCGACTTGAGCAGGCTCGTTGTCCGTGGAAGCTCTTGTCACCCTTGATTATCCCACCCCACGAAAGAACAATGAGGCCTTTTCGAAGAAGACCTCTCCTGCACCTCACCTTGTCCGCTTTACTCTTTACCCAGAATGCGCTAGCGATAGACCTCGACCTGTCGAGTCCCGACTCCATAAAGAGTGCTGCAAAGATAGTCGCTGATGAGATGGTAACATACTATACCGGGTACCGCCCTGGAGATGTTCCTGGAAATCTTCCTGCACCGTACTACTGGTGGGAAGCTGGTGCCATGTTCGGAGCCCTGATCGACTACTGGTACTTTACTGGCGACGCCTCCTACAATGAGATCACGACTCAGGCCATGCTTCATCAAGTTGGTCCAGACAATGATTTTATGCCTCCAAACCAAACCAAGACCGAAGGAAACGATGACCAAGCATTTTGGGGCATGGCCGCTCTCTCTGCCGCAGAAAATGTATTCCCCAATCCACCCTCGGACCAACCACAGTGGCTCGCTTTGGCGCAGGCCGTCTTCAACACCCAGGCCGCTCGCTGGGATACCATGTCCTGCGGTGGTGGACTGAAGTGGCAGATCTTCGCCTTCAACAACGGGTACAATTACAAGAACACCATCTCCAATGGCTGCTTCTTCAACATGGGGGCTCGACTGGCTGTGTATACTGGCAACCAGACATACGCCGACTGGGCCGACCGCATGTGGGATTGGGTCACGGCTATCGGATTGCGAGACGAGCAGTACAATTTTTTCGACGGAAGTGACGACAATCTCAATTGCACCGAGCTCGATCATATTCAGTGGACTTACAACGCCGGCACTTTTCTCGTGGGGGCTGCCAATATGTACAATTATGTAAGTGTGCGCACTCCTCGATAAGGGAACACGGGAGGACTGACCTTTGCCAAATAGACTGATGGTAGTCAAGTCTGGGCAGACCGCATCAGTGGGATCATTTCCAGACTCAACGTTTTCCTAGAGGGTAACATCATGAAGGAGACGGCATGCGAAGCTGTGAATGCCGATGGCTCTGATACCTGCAACGTGGACCAACGCTCGTTCAAGGCCTATCTTGCTCGATGGATAGCGGCGACTATCGTCAGAGCGCCTTTCACCTATCCACTGTTGAAACCCATCTTGGAGCAATCGGCCGCCGCAGCGGCAGCAACTTGCACTGGTGGTGTTAATGGTACGTCCTGCGGATCAAAATGGTGGAAAGGGGCCATATTCGACGGCGAAACCGGAGTTGGTCAACAAATGTGTGCCCTAGAGGTAATTCAGTCGAATCTGATCACCGAGGTGTCAGGGCCTGTCACAGAAGGCTCCGGAGGAACAAGTCAAGGGGACCCCAATGCTGGAACATCGAGCCCCATTGGCCCTGGAGATCTGCACAAACACGAGGTGACCGCGGCTGATAAAGCGGGAGCAGGCATCTTGACTGTTCTGCTCATTTTCTTCATTGTCGGAGGGGCATGGTGGATCATACTTTAGAGTTGAGTTTCAGAATGGCAAAGAACTCAACCTGGCTCGAGATCTCAAGCAGATTGGGAATCTCAATGGATTGATGACTGGCATGAGCAAGGCGTCGAGGTGCTCCAGGCCGAAGGAACATTGGCTTGTAGAGTTGTTCAGCGAAAAAGCTTCGAAAGGGCTGGCGTTGGGGATTTTTCAGAAACAAATGATGGACGCTTTGGAAGGTGGGAGCTGGCATACCCCGTGTAAGATATTCTTTCTGCGTGACAGTGCCAACCGAATGGCGGTCAGGCATCAAGACAGACATTGAGCATCCAATGTGACCAATACTCATCCGGCGTTGCACAGGACTCGGTCAACCATGGCGCCCGGTGCTGAAGGAATCCCCTGCTTCAGCAGGTCCGGTGAGTTGACTTGTACAAGGCATCTCCTTTCGCAGCAGTGTCTACCGCATCATCTTCCGTCCACCTGGGCTCTTCTCATCTCCTCTCGTATCCTCTCCCTATCCGCCAATTCGCCCGCCGCTCTCTTCACCTGCTCGGCCTTCTGCCTCTTCTCATCCTCGGCCGCAACGACCCATATCGGCTTATCCGACTTCGAGTACTCGATCAGCTTGGACACGAATTCTTCGTTGTTCTTAAGGCGTTGTTCACGCAGTTCGAGATTGCGCCTTTGCAGGTCGGGATTGAAGCGCTTGAAGACCTCCCCTTCAGCGGGGGTTACGTAGTACATCAGTGCTGGTCCGCCGATGCAGCATATTGTGAAGCTGTAATGATTTAGTCCATAGATCTAAGATGTGTGTGAAGGAGGAAAATCCATACATGCCGGCCATCTTGGTGTACATCCACCCCCGGGAAGCCATCTTGGGCTTCGGACAATGCGGCGCTCGTGAGCAGCTACGAACCGATCCGCTGCCGTCCTGTCCTGTGCTGTCGCGGTGTGTTGCTGACGATCGCGTCAAGTGGGCATTGCGCGACAGAGGACTATGGTACAAATGGCCTCTTGCAAAGCCTGCGAATTTCGTCGAGGATTGGACTGCATGGAGTGCAGGTGCAGAGACCGCGTGAATGTACAGAGTACGGGGAACATCAATGATGCACGACATTTCTATCGAGGATGTGCTTGGCAGGCTCTGATTGGCGAACGCGGCTCATCTCGCAACGAGGACTAAATCCTCCTTTTGCGCGCATTTCTTTGGCTGCAACGCAATGACAGGTCACTGGATTAGCAAGATGCAAACGATAGCTAGCGTATGTAGACAGGATCCCATCATAAACAGAGACCATCGAAGCTTGCAACGAAGCACCACGAGAGCCATAACGCACGCTATGTATAACCACAGCAACGTGCAGTACTGGGTATGCAGCCAGTGCGCTATTAATGCACGCATGGAGGAAGCGAAAAGCCGAGCAGCTGCAACTGTTTCCGTTCTAGGCAGCACACGCTAAATGGCTGTCATGTTACTCCGTACGTCGCTCGCCTAGAGCACTGCCTCTTCAAGGTTGCGGAGGCGTAGGGATGGAGGCGGAAGGACATGTCAGCGATGCTTGGGAACTCGTCGGACTTTGTGGAGTCACGGGCGCCGACGGTAGATGGCGCCTCTGAAGGTCAAGATGAACGTGGTCCAGGCTGGGCTTCCATGCTGTCCCGACCAGGGAAACAGTTCACCTCAATTTGCAACAGATCATAAAATAATCTTTAATAAGGAATGATCGAATGACAGCAAAGTGACAGCAGAGCGAGCACGGATCTGGCTGTATCACGTGTTCTGAACCGGAGTCGCATTTCTGTGGCGCTGCTGCTCGTCTCAGAATCGGCCGCGGTGGCCTGTCGTTCTCAGACCGGGGGCTTGTCGCAGGTCAAAGCGCCAACTTACCAGCCGTCGTCAGCAACTCTTCCAACCTCCATCTCAACCTATCTTTCCCATCAACCATCCTCGCCTGATCCAACACTCAACTACATAGCACACTCTCCCAGAATCATCAGTCGCCGATTTCAGCAACATTACTGTCACCGTGATCGTCCATTCACAGCTCACTCGTTGAATCGCCTCCTTTTCCGACCCATTTCCCCCAGCCTCCGCTTATACCTGTATCAAACATGTCGGACAGAGAAGCGCCTTATGACCCCTACATCCCTCAGGGCGGCCAGGGAGGTGGTGCGCAACAGGGTGGAAACCAGAGAACGGCTGCTCTACAAGCGGTAGGTCAACCCGCTGTTTCTGACGTGCACACTGGGAGGTTGCCGGTGTCGACCGCGGACGACTGCAGCCGAAGCTGTCGCAGACGAAGGTCGTCTTAAGCCGACCAAGGTTGACACTGCAATGTATCCGCTTTGTATTGCCAATGGCTAGGTCCAAGCCAAAATCGCAGGCAGATGACTTTGCGCCACGCTGCACGACCATACCGTCCTCGTCTCCGCTTAAGAGCCACAGCTAACCTGAAGTCTCTCGCAGCAAATCGATGATACCGTTGGTGTTATGCGTGAAAACATCAACAAAGTGTCACAGCGAGGCGAGCGACTAGACTCTCTTCAAGACAAGACCGACAACCTCGCCGTCTCGGCCCAGGGATTCCGGAGGGGTGCAAACAGAGTCCGGAAACAGATGTGGTGGAAGGATATGAAGATGCGCATGTGCTTGATTGTCGGTGTCATTGTGCTCCTCATTGTGATTATCGTCCCAGCCGGTATGTGGTGCCTTTGTGCGCATGAACGGGTGTTGCAGAGTGCTGACTTGACTGTAGTTGTGGCTACCCGATAAGCACTCCACGTCTGCCTTCGAAACCGGTTGCTCCATACTTGGAATGTTACGATCAGCACAGTCTTCCCAGCAGTGGAGGAACGATGGGCGACGACGACGACCAGCAAAAGCAAGAGCGAAGCGAGAGAAGCTCGTAAAGTCTTGGAACAAACAGTTGAACAACACCTATTCAAGCGCGCTTTGCTGATGGATGATGGGTCGGATGGGCTATTCCTGTTACAATAATGCGCCTCGGGCCTTTTTGCTCTATCAACCTGGCGTTCAGTCAATGCAATGGATCATGCTTCAACCACTTGCTCGTGTTGCCCGATGTGTCTCGTTCTACGCCGCGCTGTCGCCGACATTTCTGAAGCTACCGATCCTGCTCTCTGATCATAGGTCTGATCCACGAAATGATTACGAGGATTGACCAAATGTGGTGAGCAGGTTGTGGTGATGCGTCCCTGAGCTATCAGTGTTTTGTCCTGTGTTGACTGCGCATCCCCTTCTTACAGTAGCCGTGTGTATCGCCAACATCTTGACAAGATATACGGCGATCCTTATCGTTGGCCCTCTCGCATCGAGATCAGACACTTACGGCAGGGGCAGGACCAGTAACATGCGCTCATCGTGCATGAAGACAAGATACCCTCACTGGAGAATTTTCAAGTATTTTTTTCTTCTCACGTCAATGCCTAGGCCGAGAATCGGTGGAGCACTGATAGGGAGAAAGGGCACGCCACCCGCCGCCCATCGGAGGAGCACCGCAGAGGCTGTTTTCTGGCTGGTGGACTGCAGGGTTTGGGGTCGTGGTTGGTTCTCCCACTGTCGACTTCGTGCCATGATCACCCCCGCAAAATAGCAAAATATTTTTGCTATCTGCACCCCGTAGACGAGCAGAAAATTTTGACCGACGAAGCTCGCTGTGCAGAGTTTTGTTCTCTTCGTTCTGGGCATATACACCTGGCGTTCTGACGATAGAACTGTGGTTGGCTCATTGCGTTCTCTGCTTCCTGTTTCCATCTCCCCTCCGCAGTTCTCGAGCACGACTTTGTCACGCTACGGTGCCGGACGACGAAACGTCACCGTCCCCAGACCTCTACCCCGTATTCTTCGCCAGCTGCCGCATGTACTGAGAGCACAATGTCGGCATTGGGAGCTGCTACTGCGCGTGCAGTTACCCGACGAGCGGCTTCCTCGTCCTTGTGTGGTCGAGCTTTGCGAAGTGCCAGACCTTCATACACCCCTCTTGCCGTCCAGACGACCTCTGCTCGACGACCATATTCCTCACCTTCGCAAGGCTACGCTTCCACGCGGTCTACAGTCGTGCAGCTATTGAGCAACATCGGTTCTAAGAGAGAGGTGCAGCAATATCTGTCACACTTCAGCTCCGTCTCCTCCCAGCAATTCGCAGTTATCAAGGTTGGCGGTGCTATTTTGACCGAGCATCTCCAAACCTTGTCGTCTGCTCTGGCATTCCTGAACCATGTCGGTCTATATCCCGTTGTTGTCCACGGTGCGGGCCCGCAGCTGAACAAGATCCTGGAAGACTCAGGAGTTGAGCCGCAATTTGAGGAGGGCATCCGGGTCACGGACCCCAAGACGCTGGGGATCGCCCGAGCACTGTTTCTGGAAGAGAATCTGCGTTTGGTCGAAGAACTTGAACGTCTAGGAGTCCGAGCAAGACCGATCACATCTGGTGTTTTCACAGCAGACTACCTCGACAAGGAGAAATACAACCTCGTGGGAAAGATCACTAAGGTCGACAAGAAACCCATAGAGGCAGCCATACAGGCAGGATGCCTCCCAATCTTGACATCCATGGCCGAGTCGCCAGAGGGCCAGGTGCTCAACGTCAACGCCGACGTGGCGGCGGGCGAGCTGGCTCGAGCACTTCAACCTTTGAAGATCGTCTATCTTTCCGAAAAGGGTGGTCTGTTCAACGGCGACACGAAGCAGAAGATATCCGCCATCAACTTGGACGAGGAGTACGACCATCTCATGCAGCAATGGTGGGTTCGACACGGCACCAGATTGAAGATCAAGGAGATGAAGGACCTTCTCATGGACCTCCCCCGTAGCTCCAGCGTCGCTATCATCCATCCGGCGGATTTGCAGAAAGAGTTGTTCACGGACTCGGGTGCCGGCACCCTAATCCGGCGCGGAAACAAGGTCCACGTCAACACCTCGATTGACCAATTCAAGGACCTTGAACAGCTTAAGGATGTCCTCATCCGTGACCGTGCTGGGCTCGACGCCAGAGCCGTTGTGGATCGATACATCAGCCATCTTCGAGAGCGCGAATTCAAGACTTACTTTGACGAGCCCATGAAGGCCTTTGCTCTTGTTTTGCCGCCCAGCCGCGAGACGACCTTGGCTCAACTTGCGACACTGACCATCACCAGAGACGGCTGGCTGACCAACGTCGCCGACAACATCTTCTCCGCTATCAAAAAGGATTTCCCCAAGTTGATGTGGACGGTCAAGGAGGATGACGAGAATTTGACATGGTTCTTCGATAAGGCCGACGGCAGTTTGTCCAAGGACGGCGAGGTGCTGTTCTGGTACGGCCTGGAGACAAGCGACGAGGTCAAGGACTTGATGGTTGAGTTCACCAAGCACGGACGACAGATGTTCGGTGATATCAATCTCGAGTCGAGATTGCAGCGTGCCGCGAGAGCGGCCTCCGAGGTGGCGGATGCTGCTCGAAAAGGTGCTTCAAGCATTGCACGTGCCGCTTCCAAGGGAGTGGCTCAAACACGGTCATACTCGACCTCAGCCAATCCTCTACGTGCCGCACGACAAGCAAGGTATGTCACTAAGCCAGCCCTTGCCATCCGCACGTACGCCACCACGACGAATCCCAACCCACCGCTTGGTTCGAAGAACAGCTCGAACAGTAAGCCTTCGAGGGTAGCGTTGATCGGCGCTCGGGGCTACACCGGTAAAGCTCTGGTTGACCTGCTCAACCGCCATCCTAACATGGATCTCCGACACGTCTCGTCACGAGAGCTTGCAGGCAAGAAGCTTGAAGGCTACAACAAGCGTGAAATCATTTACGAGAATTTGAGCGTTGAAGACGTCCGACAGATGGAGGAGAACGGGGCTGTCGACTGCTGGGTCATGGCTCTCCCCAATGGCGTGTGCAAGCCATTTGTAGATGCCATTGACCAAGTGGGCAAGAACAGCGTCATTGTTGACCTAAGTGCCGACTACAGATTTGACCCCAACTGGACATATGGTCTCCCAGAGCTGGTTGACCGCTCATCCATTGCCAAAGCCACCAGAATCTCCAACCCTGGCTGCTATGCAACTGCTGCCCAGCTGGGCATTGCTCCATTGGTACCTTATCTCGGTGGTGAACCCACGGTCTTTGGCGTTTCCGGATATTCAGGGGCAGGCACAAAACCGTCACCCAAGAACGATGTCAACAACCTCAGAGACAACATTGTCGCGTACAGTTTGACAGATCACATTCACGAACGCGAGATCTCGACACAACTTGGGACTTCCGTGGCATTCATCCCGCACGTCGCCGTATGGTTCCAGGGTATCCACCACACGATTAACATTCCCTTGAAGCAAGAGATGAAGTCTCGCGACGTTCGAAATATTTATCAGGATCGTTATGCGGGAGAGAAGCTACTGAAAATCATTGGCGAGGCGCCTTCGGTGAAAAACATTGCGAACAGACACGGCGTCGAGGTTGGCGGATTCGCTGTGCACAGCAGTGGAAAGAGGGTGGTGGTTTGTGCGACCATTGATAATTTATTGAAGGGCGCGGCAACACAGTGTCTTCGTAAGTCATCTCCCCTGTTATCCGGAGGCTTCTACTGACATCGGGCGCAGAAAACATGAATTTGGCGCTCGGATATGGAGAGTTTGAGGGCATTCCGCTTGATTGAGCGGGTGTCGGGACTGGCGATACATGGTTATGATAGACGCTAGAACGTCCGAGGTCCATCAATGCCGCATGTGCCAGGGCCATGGAAGGGAAAGTACGCTTTTACCACATTAATGAAACGAATTCCTCGAACGAACCTACTTCCTTGCACCGCGATCTCCCCGTATCGACACAGTAAAGGCACACAAGCGGTAGAATTTCTGTCCCGCCTCATGTGTTCCTCCTTTGGCAACCTAGGTTGGGTCCATGCTAAAGCGAAGCTGACTGAGAAAAGGCTATCTGACTCTTGCTGAGACAGGCATATGAGCTCTTACACGGGAAGATATGCTGTGACAAGGAACACCTCTCAATCCGAGTTGAGATGCATTGAGCGAACCGTGTTGAAAACTTTACTGTTACGATTTCGTTTTCTTTCTCGAACTTTGAATTTACGTGTATCCAAGTTCCTGTCTGCTCAAGGACGCGAGTGCGGCAGAATCTCTCCCTCGTCCATGTTGACGGCAAGTTGAGTTTGCTCTTCATTTCACTCTCACTCCCGCACAAGTTACTGCCACACCCGTGTAGACCTTCTTTTTGCTCACCTTCTTGCTACCTGCGTTCGTGCTTTCCAAACCTGCCGACGCGGTTCCCATTCTTCTTCCGCCGAGACCTCCCTGAGTCGATAATCCGAAGCCCAAGTCGGGGTTGATGGGCACTCATCTTTGTCGTCCGTCCCTCCCATCAAGATGTTCTACAGCCACGAGAGTGAGTGACGTCTGCCTGATGTGTTCTGAGAACATTGGCCAGAATCGTGCTGACAATCGTCAACTGCAGTTCTGACGAATCGTCAGTATGGTGTTGCGACGATCTGGTGAGTCTGGCTTTGCCTCAGCTCTCACGTCCGCATCAAACGTTGCTGCCCACCTTGTTCCTCGCAGAGTGTGGTCTTCTCTCTCTTGCTGTCAGCTCATAACATCCTGCTGATCATGTCCACGTCGAAATATTTCCAGGCTGGTGGCTACACTTGGCTCCAAATCAAACCTCAAAAAGATCACTCGCCGCGCCATTCTCGATGTCGACCTCCTCAAAGCATGCAAAACCATCACCGAGCCAGAGGTGCCTCTGGCGCTGAGGTTGCAAGGCAGCTTGTTGTTCGGTGTCTCTCGCGTCTTCCAGCAACAGTGCGGCTACGTCTTGACGGACGTGACGAGCCTAAGGGACAATATGAGAAGTAGGGTTGTCCTCCAGGAGATGGAGCTGGATCCTGAGGTGGGTAAGACGAGGTCAGTGATTGTATCAGCCAGACTTTCTTGAATGCACGCTCACTAAGGCTACCAGGCCTGAACAACTCAACCTCGCTGAAGATCCCTACTTTATGCCAGAAATCGATATCAACTTCGACCTCTCTGCGTTTGGCTTCTCCTCCGAGGGCTCCAGCGCGTCCCAAAACGGATCGTCCATGCTTAGTTTGCACTCAAGCCAAAGTAGTTTGCATTACGATGAAGAGGCAGGAGAGCTTGGTCTTAACATCCCATCCCTGAGCACCCCAGCTGCTGGGAGCGGCGGCCTTGAGATCCTTGCGGGCCTAGGAACGAGCTCCGCGGCGAAAACTGGCAGCCGAGTCGGTCGCCTTCCTTCTATCTTCGGAGAAGAGCCCGCCATTATCGATGACCCTGTGTTCGACGTCGACGACGATGGCTTTCTCCGCCCAGCTATGCCGCGTGGTTTTGTTGATGAGCCTGAGCTGCCTTCCGTTGAAGCGCAAACACCACATGGGAGCGATACAAGAACTGGCGGCCAGCCTCGCACAGAGCATCTATCTGCAGCGGGAGAGGATGAGCCAATGCTCAACTTTGACGACGACATGGTGGTATTTGGTGACGATGAACCCTCGATCCTGCCAGCGGCTCCCCAGATCCCTCTGACTCCAGAACCTGACGACGAGAATACTCAACAAGACAAACGAGCCAGTTCCTCGGTCTATCCGACGGAAGAGTCCTCTGTAACGGCAGATGCGCTCCAGCGACCGAGACGAACCACCAAAGCAATCCAGCCAGATCGAGAGACAGAGTTGACCAACCGAGCTCTCAATGAGTGGAATCAGAACTATCTCGGGAATATGGCCTTGGCTTTGCGGGCCAGACAGAGACAGTTTTCAGGTTCCAAAGCAAAGAGGAATGCCGAGTTCTGGGTTTTCCTACAAGGCTTGGGCAATGTCGCATCTACGTTCGGAGTCGAGGGAGACCAGCATCCACTTGCCGTCTTCAGCGGTCAGTCACTGTGGGATATGTTGAAAGGACCTGAACGGGGGACAAAAAGAGCCCGTACTCCCTCCGTAACCGATGACGAACAACTGGAGGAAAGACGGGTCCGAGCAAGGACAACACCGCAGGAAGAAGTCGTACGCGGCGCCGATGGCGATGTTCACCAATTGGCTGACGAAGACGGGCTCATGATACTAGGCGACGACTTTGAGATTGATGCTGAAGTAGGTCGACATGCTCCTCCTTCTCTACCAGATCATTCGTCTGGTATGCCATGGAATTTGTCTCTTGGGGGATCTCGACAAAGCTCAATTCGCCCACCGGGCAGCGGGCTCATACCAAGATTGAGTTCTAGTGTTGGAGGTCTCCCAGGTGGGTTGGAGCTCGGGCCACTACCGACTCTGAGCAGACGAGGGTCGCGCCTCACCTCCGCAAGTCCACTGTTCGGAAGAGGGGTGCCGCTTCTGTCGAGACACAGCAGCCAAGGCCCTGGGGAGGCTTCACGTCTCACGAGCAATGAGGACGAATTTGCAGATCTGGACGCCCAGCTCGGTGCGGGTCTCGATCCGGACTTCGAACTGTACGGGCCTTCCGCAACCGTTGATACGCAAACGGCCGCGCAAAGTCAATGGGTCGCCGCGACGTTGGAGAACGAAGCATACAATTTCCTCGCGTTCGTGAACACCAAGGTCCAGGAGAAAGCAGGACTTACCCACAACCGGGTGGCGGCTGAAGAGATACCAGAGACGCAAGAGGAAGACATCACGTTGGATGAATTGCTTCCACCGACACAGAACTCGGCTATTGTGGGCGCTCAGGCGTTGCTTCACGTGCTCGCGTTAGCCACGAAGGGCTTGTTAGAAGTGTACCAGGCTGACCATTTCGGGGAGATCCAGATCTCTGTGGTTAGCCATTAAGGCGATTGGTTGAGCGCGGAGACCGGAAGCTGTGGTGTTGAGCTGTGATGGTTGAGACCTCGGATCTTGACTGAGTGCCGAGAATATCAAATGTGTGATACGAGTCGATGTGTGTCAAGGGCTGTGAAGGATTGAGCCATGAGAGGAACTGAGGTGTGAGAGTACGGAGTACGAGTACAGGCGTGACAGGGTATCGCACAAGTGTCTTCTGCGACCGGGAAGTTGAGAGCCGGACGCAATTTCGTCGTATCAACCTCGAGCGAGGTTCAGCCTTGCTCATCTCAAGAACGTCACAGGACTATCCTGGGGAATGCGAACCAGGATGATCACTGGAAGCACGAGACCATCGTTGTTTGATCGACCTGGAAATTTCGCTAAGCGTTAATGAGTGATGTGGCGCAGGCGTCCATCTTCCACCCAAATCGCCTTTCCAGCCACAATTGCTCTTAACATGACACGCGTATCGTTTCAGAGTTCGGCGGGATGATGCGCATGACCTTTTCGTTGGAGGCCCGCGGTCTACCCAGTACATACTATGATGCTGTTCGGCACGCCCATCCCGCCTGAGGAAGACGAAGCTGCAGGGCCATGCTCCGTCAGTATTCGCTCTCTCGTATCTGGTTGCACAGCCCTCCAGCCAAGCAAGTAAGAAGCCATGCTTCCGGAGGTTCGTGTGGCCAGCTGCTTTGACCAGTTCAAGCACACGAAGGAGCAGGACTCCGTAGTTTATGTAAGTCGCACGCGGAGATGTGTGGCTTTGTTGGCTTGAATGGCACAGCAAAAACTGGCTCGACTACCACCCATCAAGGTTGGAAGCTTCCTCTTAGCGGTTGATCCTGGCGACCAAGGAACCACAAAGACTTCTGGTTGCGGCGAATCATGGGTCTGTGCCTGACATTCGCGCAGTATTGTCTTTGTGTTCACCCTCCATGACGAACGACCAACAGGCATTGACCCTGCCAGCCCTGGCGCAGCACAAGTCAGTCCTTGCCACGATGTGGTATTGTGTAAAACGTAGGCGTCATGCTCGATAGGACACAATAATCAATTTATCCCGAGCGCTACCAGGTGCGCTGACCCGGAGGTGTTATCCCAGGCAAAAATATCTCTACTGGGTGCAGTAGGATTACTCGTACATTAGATTGGGCCGATGGAGCCTGCCCTTTGGACGTGCTAAGCGAGGCAGGCTAGGCGGGCTGGACGGGCTGGACGGGCTGGACGGGCCACCACCACCACCGCCGCTGGTAACCCTAATTAGCCCCTCCCGCGTTTTAGGCACGCCGGTGCCCTTTCCAGCAGTACCCAATTAAACCCCAAATCGGAACATGTCGATGCCGACCTAGAGCGACGCACTCACTGTGTATACCTCGCTTCCCAGGACTGACACTGCTCACTTGATTTTGAATCCCCTCAGCAGCACGCTGAGCCGGCGGACGTCCAGAGGCAGTGTTACAGGTCGTCAGGTCTCTACCGGCACATCGGCGAGACTGTTGTCCCCTGGTCGTGACTTCGGTGGTTCAGTTTCCGTCTCACTTCTCAGTCAATCACAGTGCGAAACGGGCCATGGATGACAAGTCCATTTTGAGTCCCATCGTAACCTGAACGAGCTCTTGTCGCGACTCCTTTGTCCGCATCAGGTCGTCCGCGATCGAATCCACAGCCTCCCGCGCGCAGACGCAAGAACGACAGGCGACCGCAGCTAGCCTGATCAAGTCGCACCCCATATTCACTCTTCACGATGATGGCGGGCAATCAATATGGCCAACAGTGGCCGCAGAACCAAGCACCTCAATACCAATACGACGGCAGGGATTACCAGCCACAACGGCAAGAGGTTGCGCACGGGCAAGGCTCATACAACCAAGGTTATGCGGGCTATAATGACTACCCGCAGAGTGGCAACGGGTACGGGCCAGGTTCAGCGCCAGCACCGCCACGGAACAACGGGAACGAGCAATGGCAAGGTCAAGATCAGTATGCCCGGCAAGGAGGTTACGAGGAACCGCATTACGAGACAGGGAACGGTTCTGGTCGACCTCGGCGGGATCGCTTCGATCAAGGCCCACCACCCCAGGATCGCCAATATCAGTACGATGAGCGATACCGCACCAACGGACAAGGCAGGCCACCGCCAACGGATCACAGCTATGCTGAAGGCCCAAGGCCACCAAGGGATCAGTGGTCACAGCCTTCGACGCCCCAGAAGCGACCCAAACGTAAGAGCTCTGACTGTCAGTCTATTGTACCTGCTGCTGATGACATATAGCTCGCGATCGCATTCTGACTGAACCGGCTTCACCCAAGAACCTTGCCTGGGACAATCCCTTTGGAGCATTCAACGACCTTGGCAAAAAGAAGCCCGCGGCGAAGGAGCAAAGACACCAGAGACATGCAAGCCTCGATCATGCAATGGCAAATCTGAATGTGGATGAGCGTCCAGGTAGCGGTGGCCCGGCACCACGACTACAGACCCCTACGGTCCGCAGAAAAGAGGCTTCGCGCCCAAGTACTTCGCATGATCGTCCCCCAGATATGGGCCGGTCTCCGCCGCCTCAAAGTTACCCAATGCCAGCTGGAAGAAACTCGCCGGATATGCATTTTCAGCAACAGCCACTACCTAGACCTCAGGAGAGGATAGATAGTCCACGTATGCGCCCGTCAGTGCCACAAGGTCCGTCACGAGGTCCACCACCACCGAGTCAGCAACCGCAATTGAGGCAAGATCCACTCCACCCAGGTCCAGGTCCAGGCCCAGCTGTCAAGAGGCCGCCAGCGGACCATAACTTCCAAAGAAGTTACGGGGCTCATGAGTATGACCAGACTCATGAACGGTTACGCCGCAACCACACATTTGACGAAGGTTATGCCTCTGACTACATTCCCCAGTCAAAAGCACATATCTCACCGATAGACCGGATGCCTCCAGGAAATCAATACCAGCAGGCGCCCCTGCAGGACTATTCTGCCGATCCATACCGCAGGCAACCGCCTCCCAAGCCCGCTGTGCACAATCAGAGGGAGAACAACGGTCTGCCGAACTTCGACGCCATCCCGACCAATGTCACCGAAAGGTTGGAAGACAACTTCATTGCAGGCCAGAAACCTTCATTTGACCAAAACATATATCGAAGACCGACCTATCAGGTACCTGGTGCTGCTTCAGGAGAACCAGGACAAATTGACACTAGAGGAATACAGCAGTCACCACCAAACCAAACCAATTCTCCTCTGGCTGAGTTCTCTTTTGATCTTCCGGCTACTGCTGGACCCACAAATGCTGCTAGGAATGGAAATCCTGCACAAGCGGCCATGTATCATGGAGGACATAATGAGTATACTCCCGGTCAACGGGCAGCGTCGAGTAGGTATGGGGAGAGACAGCCCCAAGAAATACCCCGATCGCAGTATCCACCTCGTGCTGCCAGCCGGAATGGGATGAAGCAACCGGTGGAAAATGCCGCTTCACAGCCACCATTGCCCAACAACGGCCAGCCGTATCGTTCATTCAGCCAAGATACCTATCCTCAGCGACCGCATACTAGCAATGCACAACGGGCAGCGCCCCAAAGCTATGAGGTGATGAATCCATATGATCAAGATTACACGCACCGAGCTCCGTCGGCGCCTGCTGCGCCCGTACCATTTGAGCAGGGATTTGGTCCACCTGGGCAGAACAACCAATACCAGCAGCCGTATGGGCAAGGTCTTCCCATGCGCAAGGCCTCGCAAGATAGCTACAACCAGAACCAGCAATTTCGCCAGCCGTATGGCCAAGATCCGACCATTCGACAGACTCCCCAAGGCCCCTACGACCAGGGACATCCTAAATCCAGTGGAATCAGCTCTGCGCATCCAGTTCCAGTCCGACACTATGGACCGGTGCCGAATGGCGAGACCAACCCCGACGCTCTTCCAGCCCATCCCACGCCAGTCAGGAGTGGATTGAGCAACGGCAATAGTTATCAGTCTACTCAGGCAGCACCTGCACCGACTCCGCAGCGGCGTGCTGTTTCGGAATCCCCTCAGCCGGTCACCCTCCAGGAGCTGAATAACCTGCGGCAAATGTACAGCAGTAACCCCGGCGACCACGCTCTCGGGTTGAAGCTCGCGAAGAAGATGGTCGAAGCCGCGAAAGTGCTTTCAGACGAGAATGGAAGGGCGGACGCGAAAACGGCTCAAAAGAACCGCGAGAAGTACATCTTCGACGCGCACAAGCTGATCAAGAAACTGGTGGCTTCCAACTACCCAGATGCAATGTTCTATCTGGCGGACTGTTACGGACAGGGAATGTTGGGACTTGCGGTGGATGCCAAGGAAGCGTTTACCCTATATCAATCCGCCGCGAAGCTGAACCACCCTCAGAGCGCCTATCGAGTGGCCGTGTGCTGTGAACTGGGATCTGAAGAGGGTGGTGGAACCCGACGGGATCCACTCAAAGCGATGCAATGGTACAAGCGAGCCGCAACATTAGGTGACACGCCGGCCATGTACAAAATGGGTATGATCCTCCTGAAGGGGCTACTCAGTCAGCAGAAGAATCCGCGCGAAGCAGTCTCATGGTTGAAAAGAGCGGCTGAGCGTGCAGACGTAGACAACCCACACGCGCTACACGAGCTCGGCCTACTGTATGAGTCGACGACACCGCCAGACAACATCGTCCGCGATGAAAGGTACGCGGTGCAATTGTTCCAGCAAGCTGCAGAACTGGGCTACAAATACTCACAATTCCGCCTGGGATCGGCGTATGAGTACGGACTCATCGGTTGCCCGATTGATGCAAGACAAAGCATTGCCTGGTACACTCGAGCCGCAGCTCAAGGGGAACATCAGTCTGAGTTGGCGCTGAGTGGGTGGTACTTGACTGGTTCGGAGCCCCTGCTCTCGCAAAGTGATACCGAGGCATTCCTCTGGGCGCGGAAAGCTGCGAGCTCGGGGCTTGCAAAGGCCGAGTATGCAATGGGTTATTTTAATGAGGTGGGTATCGGCACAGCGGTGGATATGGAGGAGGCGAAGCGGTGGTATTATAGGGCGGCTTGTGAGTATTCCTCCTCGGTTCTAGAGAAAGAACGGGCTAACGCATTCTTGCAGCACAAAACTTTGCCAAAGCGCGAGAAAGACTTGAAGAGCTGAAAAGGGGCGGTCCAAAGCAGCAAAAGACTCGCATGTCACGATCGAATGTCAACAGGCAGAGTGATGGGGAGTGCGTGGTCATGTAGAGGGGGAGACTACCGCCGTTGCTTCCAAGCTTCAGCACATTGAGCCCGATGATCACGAGCACGCGGAGCCAGCGGGACAAGGTGATTATCCAGCTGGCGAAGGTTCTTCCGGCAAAAGGCTCTGTTTGGGGGTTTCTTGTAAAACATGGCCCTCCATTTTGCAAGCGTTTCATCGACGAAAATCGGGAGCGTCCCGACACGCGGAAAGCCGATGTCTATGTATCGACGATGCACTTGATGAAATGTTATTATCGACCGACTTGGACATGTTCTTCATCAGGCCTGTAGCGCCAAGGGCGACTACTTGGTGAAATTTACCCTCCAGCTCGGTATATATCGAGACTACAGATTCCTGCTCAGCGTCGAGTCACCAACGCTCTAATGCTGCGGTAATGAGGCATATGCTTCACTTGAGCAATACGGAGGAGCATAACTACGTCGATGCTCGTTCTAGATCTTGAAGGCTCGCCCGCTGTGGTGGACAGTCACGACTTTTCACCTTCGACGTCCTCGATGGAGTCTCCGCTGCTCACACACACTCTGTTGGCCCTGCTCTACAGCCCTTTCATCCGTTAAATATGATGTCTTACCAGGTACATGTCCACTTTCGAAGACTGGTGTGGATCTCGGATCTGGGCGCTTGGAGCAGCCACAGGAAAGAAAAATGCCTTCATCCGACTACTTACGTGTACTTCACGCGGGCCGACAATCATGGCTTGCCCTGCTCCGGTTGCATGGTCAAGCGTTGGCACATCGATGACTCTGTGGCTCTTGACGCCATTCACGGCTTGAAGATACGGTATGTCTTGTGGAGAGGTCCTTCTTAACCTATCCATTTCCAGGCGTCGATACATGACTTCTGTAAAGTCCAGCGAAAGCACGCAACTCTTGGCGTAAATCGCGAGTCGGCCAGATTCAATGCTTTTCACTGAGCATCGACCACATGTGATACGCCCGAGGTCGTCATCTTATCTGCCCAGATTATTCAAGCTTCTTCGTCTCTTCGAGATTCGCAAGGTCGCTCCATGGCGCTCGACCGAACGCCATACAGGGGGGTGTTCTGCATCTCGATGTCGCGTCGCTGTCTTGGTGGCACATCCACCCTCATCCACAATGCTCGTGGCAATCCACGTTTACCGCCTGTCGAGATCATCGCGCAGGATGATGTTATCGCACCAAAGAGGAAGGTCAATGTCGACCACTCCTCAGTAGAAAAGGCCGGATCGCGACTGTCCGAGGAGAAGTGTTGCGTCAGGCACCATTCTATCCCCTTTTCTTCCCCATTGAACCAAGAGGCCCCTGAGAGCTGCAATGTCTCCTGTGGCTGAATTGCCTCCGCAGGCATACCAGGAAAAGACCATCATTGACAAGGAGGCCCCGAGCGCAACAGCCGTTCCTCCAACCAGTGACGACACCAGCTCGATTGAAGACGTTGATGGCGATTATGGCTCTTATGGAAATCACGTCTTCTCCGATCCCAAAGTACTGCGGCCGAGCCCGTAGCCTTACCTCGCTTATTGACCTTGGACAGGTAGCTGAATATTGGCGGAATGTCTATGAGAATGCCCACTACGAGGGTCGCCATCGATTCGATCCGTCTTTCACGTGGTCTGCTACTGAAGAAAAACGATTGAAGCGCAAGGTACGAGGAAGAAATTGGGCCAACCGGCCCTGGAAGCTGAGGCTAAACGTGTGCGCAGATCGATATCCGGATCATGGCATGGTGTTGGATGATGTTCCTGGCTCTGGACCTGAACCGGAGAAACATCAACCGCGGTACGCTGAGCAGCCTTGGTCTATACTGATCCGCCAGTTGACCAGTGCCATAGCGATCAGTGATGACATGTTGCCCGAGCTCGGCATGAATACCAACGACTTCAACTACGGTCAGACAATCTTCCTCACCTGCTTTCTTGCCGCCGAGCTTCCTTCAGGCCTGATCTCGAAGAAGCTGGGACCAGATATGTATGTGTCTGCCGAGAGCGTCCTTCGACGTGTGCGCCGTTGACCTAGAGCAGTTGGATCCCTTTCATTATATTGGCATGGTCTATTGTCTCCGCGTCACAGGCAGGCCTTAGCGGCAAGACTGGCTACTATGTCTGTCGCGCTCTCCTCGGCTTGCTCATGGGAGGCTTCATCGTAAGTCTGGCAAAATCGTGCGCTGGCATTGGGGACTCATCGCTTCTCAGCCCGACACGGTCCTGTACATCACGTACTGGTACAAAAGCCGTGAGCTGCCCATTAGATTGAGCTGGTTCTGGACCGTCCTCAGCACCTGCAATATTGTCGGTTCTCTGCTTGCCGCTGGCATCCTCCAGATGCGCGGCATTCACGGCTGGTCAGGGTAAGTTTGACAATCTTCTTGGCCCCAAGAGGAGTGTCCATCTATCGGCGCTGACGTTCTCGCAAGCTGGCAATACCTCTTCCTCATCGAAGGCGTCATCACCGGTGTCGTCGGGATTCTAAGTTGGGGCCTCATGCCCGCCAGCCCGTGCCAAACAGCCAGCTGGTTCCGTGGTCGAAACGGCTGGTTTACCGAGCACGAGGAGAAGATTCTGGTCAACCGGCTCCTCCGCGACGATCCTTCAAAAGGGGACATGCACAATCGACAAGCCGTCGACGCCACCCGTCTCTGGAAGTGTCTGAAGGACTACGACCTCTGGCCCCTCTATCTGGTCGGGCTGACGACCTATATCCCCCCGAACCCGCCGCAGAATTACCTCGCCTTTATCCTTCGACAGATGGGCTTCAGCACCTTCAACGCCAATCTGCTCACCATCCCATCACAATTCCTCTTCGGCGTCAACCTCCTTATCATCTCGCGCATCAGCGAGTGGGTGAACGAAAGGTCGCTCGTGTCTTCGACGTCCAACATCTGGATCTTCCCCTGGCTCGTCGCGCTGGTCACTCTCCCCGCCACGACGAGCACGTGGGTGCGTTACGCCCTGCTGACGGGTCTCCTCTCCTATCCCTACTGCCACGCCATTCTCGTCGCGTGGAACTCGCGCAACTCGAACACGGTGCGCAACCGCGCCGTCTCCGCCGCCTTGTACAACATGTTTGTGCAGGCGGGGAATATCGTCGGCTCCAACATTTACCGCGAAGACGATCGTCCGCTGTGTAAGTTGGTCCCCGCGAGCACTTGTTTTGTCTTCTTCTTCTTCTTCTTCTTCTTGTTCTTCTTCTTCTCCTCCCGCGCTTGGCTACATTATCTCGCTACACGCGGTGCCCGGTCCCTTGTCTAACGCTTTGTCCATGCAGACCTCCGCGGCAACCGAATCCTCCTGGCAATCTGCTGCTTCAACATCGTGCTCTTCATGTTCGTCAAGTTCTACTACGTCACGCGCAACAAGAGGCGCGAACGGGAGTGGAGTCGACTCACGGGCGAGGAGAAGATGGAATATATCCACAACACAAAGGACGAGGGGCCGAAGAGGTTGGATTTTCGGTTCGTACACTGAACGTAGAAAGGACGGACGGCGCGACGAGGGGCTGAAGAGCCGGGGTTTACCTACCCGGTGGTGGTGCCACCATTGAACTGGAAGAAGGGCGTGGGCGCGTGGATCATGCGTTATACAATACAATATTAACACAGCATCACGCAGCACAGCATAACACGGCACGAACAACACGGCACGAACAACACGGCACGAACAACACGGCACGAACAACGCGAGATTACATTACATCGCTTTCGGCCGTTTGTTGGTGGCTGGATGGGTCTAGGAGGTTGGAACGAGGCAAGAGGGGTTCGGATGAGAGAGACGGGATCGGCGATGAAGTTGGGAAGACGGGGGAATGCAGTGAGATGGGAAGACAGATACCTAGATACAGGACAGAGAACGGGAAATAGGAAATAGAAGTAAAAAAATCCGGAAATATCTGGAGTTGATGCACGTGCCCGGGCATCAGTGGATGGATCTACTTAAGTAAGAGGACAAGTACATGTATATGTCTACAGCGGTCGATCTACAGGAGATATATATAGAATATATATACGTGTGTGTGTAATACGGTACCTTGATGGAACGTAGGTTGGTGTGTGTCTAAAAAGAGACGTCAGACGTCCTAATTACTTCCTCATCATCCTCTGTACGAGTATGCTATACCACGGATCATGTATTATATTAGATAATCTGGACTAGAATCCGATATCTAGGATCGGAAACTCGAAGTATAAGAGGATTATAGAGCTATAATTACATATATATACATATGGCATGCCGCCACATCCCCGGACATAGATGGTGATGCCTGGCGGAGCATGATGGAGTTATGACACTCTATCCGAGGCGAGGAAGTGCTTCTTCTTCTTCTTCTTCTTCTTCTTCTTCTTCTTCTTCTTCTTCTTCTTCTTCTTCTTCTTCTTCTTCTTCTTCCACCAGACCGAACGAGGCAACACCAGCCCAGAATCGAAGCATACTCCTCACCTGACTTTGATGTTGATCAATGGTCTGTCCCCACCTAGCACTCCGCAATAGCTTGCATGGTGGAAGAATGCGGCAGACGTCCGTTAACGTAAAGGGGAGATGAATCAGTACCGCACACACCCTTTCCTCGGTCTGTGGTCATCCACTCCTGCTTTGATCCGTGGCCAGAGTTGGGTTGCGAACTGCGCAGTTTACTCTTCGGCAGGTTTTCGTTTCGAGCTAAGATCTAAGATCCAGGACCTGCGTCGGTATGTTCGTATGATCCCATGAATCTAGGGTCCCTGTCCTCCGTAATGAGATGTGATTTGACTTTGAGTCGTCGATACACATTATGTTCGAGCCGGTATATTTTATGGCTTGGTGTTAATCTCTAGCTGCGTCCAACGAGCCCGAAGTAGTAATGGCCGTGAAGCGCGGTATCTGTGGTCTGTCCGCCGGCCAGCGTCTTGAGGTGTTTCGGAACTTCCACTGAGTCTTGTGGGACGAGGCACCAGAAGGGCCAACTGCTTGAACATGAACCCCTGACGCTGCTTGTACGTTCAACTCAAGTTGATCTCGCCGACTTCGCTA